GATTCAACTTCTTTCAAGTCTAAAGGGCTGGGCATACTTCACGCGATTTCTCGCGACTCGATTTGGCAATTCGCCACAAGCCTTCACATCCAACACTAGCAAACTGCACATGCATAGTGCGTATAACTTACTGGATTGATAGAATGTCCTATCTTCTGTACACTTAAAATGCGCTAACAATGAGTTATGAACAGTTGGAAAATTGCCAAATCGCGTCGCGACTGAAATCGTGTGAAGTATGCCCGGCTTTTGGGAGGTTGAAAAAGAAAACCTAAACTTTTCTTACTACAAAATAAAATCATGGTATTTTTCTTTGTCAGTAAAAGATGAAATTTGCTATTTCTTCTCAAATATCTCCACAAAATATTCATGTACCAAACTGACCGCTGACAACATATGAGTGCAATCCAATCTTGAAACGAAGTCGTCGGTTATGTGCTGAGTCTGCTGAAATTTGCAGAAAATCTTTTGCAAACGAAGAAATTTGTGGACTTCGTTCGAGTCTCAGAGTCAACTTACACTTGTTGATTACTGGATTCATTGCGCATGGCACACCAAGTGACGACGAGCAACGACTAATGCTCGTCAGAGGCGGAGGGAAGCCCGAAGACATCGCGATAACGCCTTCTTCTTTTTTGCGATTTTTGCTGGAATTTTTGACTATCAAAGAGGTTCCTTCAGAGTTCATCACTCTGTAGAAATTGGAGGGCTAAAAACTTTTGGACAATTGCCAGAAATACTAAGCAATAGAAGAAAGCAACATAAGAAAAGGTATTGGCAATCGGTTATTGAGCTTGAGCTTCTTGAGTCACAGCTATCAAGCAATTTTCAAAAAATTCTTTTCGCCTGGACTTCTTGCGTGGATGCCGAAGGAAAGGCTTTAGCTAAGAAATTACGCATATAGCAGCTCGTACGAATCACTTGTCGCCGAGAAATTCAACTCTAAACTCGCGCCCAAACCGTAATCTTTCTCGGTATTCATACCATAAAAAGTACGGTCTTGGCCTAAGATCAAAGCTGGATTTCTCGGCCACGGTTGAATCATATGAACTGCCGCTTGGGCCATGGCTTAGCTAAGCCTTTCAATTACTATGTATCACTGCGATCGGGAGATTTTTTAGGAGTGAGGGGGGAGGGGAGGCAGGCGATTGAAAAAATTTCACATGAAAGGAGTGCCCTTAACTATACCTTCCGGACTGAGCATAGGAATTTCGAATAATTTTGAGAATTATAGTATTATTTTGATTATTTTTGAGCATTAAAAGTTGCTTGCCAGTTTCTAACTCACGTAAGCAGCTATAGAAAGAATGGCTCAAATGCTGCACATCCTTCATTATATCGATTTTGAAATCGTCTTAAAACTGTATAGATTGGCGAACAGCAGGCAAGTAACAAAGCAATAAGCAAGAATGGAGCTTCCATTTCACTTATGTTGTCTCAATTTCTTGATGATTCAACCAGCGGACTTCACTTCTGATGAGAAAAGTCTTCAAAATTTATATGAATGTCGGAAAATGATGATGTAAGGGCAGAGCATGGCATTTTCCCTACCAAAATGTCGGGCTAGAAAAAAACGAAATCGAAATTCTCTAAGAAAACGAAAACCTCATGTTTGACACAAAAGACTTGTATGAGCATGGTTTGATATTTTGTAAAGCATTTTGGAAAAATGATTACGTCATTGTAAAAGACATTGAATTACCACATTTTCTTAGCAGCATGATAAATCACACAGAATGCGAGCACCGAAAAATAGCTCATAAAAATAAAAATAGCTAACTGTGTGTCTAATATATAAAGAATCGTTAGCTCAATTCAAAAATCTTCAAATAGCGGGAACCGAGGGCAATCGAAGCGAACGCTCCCAAACTTAGCACCTTTAGATTATCGGTTCACTAGTTTAGTAGGAGTAAACTCGAGCAAATATTCAGTTTTTGCAAAATACTTTTCTTTTGATATCATAACTTATAATAATGGGCTAAGGATGTTTACGTGTTTTTGTGTGTGTGTGTGTCTGTCTGTCACGAAATTCGTGGAACGGTTGCCAGCCAACATCTTAAGCCCAAATTTTGCACAGCGCATGCTACCAACATGAGAGTCCACTATATCAAAGCTTGAGCGGATCCGTTTAGCGGATCCCTCAAAAAATGCGCGTCAATCGGACCCACCTGACTTTTCGTCCCCAAAATTGGGTCCGTAATTCCACTTTTTGCAGGCTCGTGGATGTTTATGGCAAGTAAATGTGCAAACCATGAACTTAGGCCCAAAAAAGTGATCAAAAGTCCACTACTTTACAAAAACGGCGCCAGAAAGTATTGGTTGCGTAAATGGTCATTTTGCCAAGCTTTTACCAGAGCATTTGATGAGATTTTTGCACCTAAATGTAGCTTATGGTGACTACTGTTCTTATGGCGACTGTCAAGGCTGTGGGAAAATCAAAAACGTACAAAATTTTGCTTTATTCTCCTGCAAAAAAATTTCATCCACGCGAAATCACCGATTTCACATAAAAAAGCTTTCGGAATGAGTAGTTGTTTACACTTTGTTCTTGATAGTCGGCATTGCTCGGTGAGTTTCAATGCCATCATTATGCGAGAATGAGTAGGGCCTAGATAGTAGAGCCAGTGCGAGCCTCTGCGAAGCAGAGGTGACGCACTGGTATGTACATAATTGCTAAACAGAACAGAGGCTATAGTTTTGCGCTTGAACTGAAAAGCATAAAATCCAGGAGGAATAAAATATCCAGTAACAAGTATACATAGTTGTTAGCAGATTCGTGTTTTTACATACATTAAGGAGTTATTATTTTTATTTAATTTTTTCAAACATCGTGAGGTTGATATCCCACCAAAAAAGAATTAAAAGTAAAATACTTTTACAGTAGGAAAGTAAGCGTATTTCAAAAGTTCTCTTTATATTGCAGAGTTTTAGATTTTTAGAAAGTTGGCCTTTGGAAAGAAACAGAAAAGAAAATAATTGCTACGATAAGCTTTTTGTCATTAACTGATCGTAGAACATTTGGAAACGTTCAAATTCCTGAAAAAAAAATGCTGCAAAAACCTTTTGAGTTTCATTGTAATCGACTTGCTACCTTTTTCAGTCTTCTCTTCCCAATAAATCCTTAAACGGAAACGGAAAACGATTTTTCTTACCTCTAAAATATTTCACATTCCAGTGAAACGTCGTAACAGCACATTCTTTCACATAATTCACGAAAAAAATACAATTACATTGTTCGCAAATTGCACGACACTATGATGTTCAGATAAAAAACAGCCTGGACTATCCTAGGCAACCCTTATGCGTACAATTATGTTCTAGCCAGCTTTTATAATTCCATCAGTGAGGCGCAAATGGAGCGCTATGAAAGCATCTTGACAGCGGAGGCGTTTAGAGATTGTGGACAAGGGTTTTTAAACAGAACATATTATTGTTTTCGCCAAATTTATTAGATTATAGAGAAAAATGAGGCAAAATTGCATACTTAGTTCTTCTTTGTTTAAAGCGAAATGTCTCGAGATTTTTCATGAAATTATACTTCACAAGAAAAAAATCAAATATTGAAACAAAGCTCTGAGATTGAGCGATGCATTCAAAAGTGCAAAGCGCTTGGCCACGACATTTTGATTGAAAATTGAAGACGCAACCTCGGATTCATAGCAGCAGTCAAATATTTAACCTCTTAGTGCAATTGCACTATAGCTTTGAGAGACTTTGAGATACTCAGAAGTTTAATCACTTGAAAATATTACGGGTTACAATATTTTACGCACTTAGAGAGGCCCAGAGTCTAGGCATGTCAATATGTCTTAAAAATTAGGATGGAAGTATACCCACAGTAGAATAGTTCTGCTCATGTATGCAACAAAACAAAGTCTTTTTTATCTTCATAGATTTTTTTAGACAGAGAGCATCAATAGTAATACAAAGGCAGCTCGGATGTTCTCCAAAAACGCTGATTGGAAACTTGCCAAAATTCGGAAAAATTCAAAAAGATTGAAGAATAATTGGAATCTTTTGCTTGACGTGTATGCATCGAAACTCTTTAATCCCCCACATAATTTAAGGAAAAAGTTGGAAAATTGTGGAAATTTTTTAAAGTTCAATAGAACTTATATATTACACATATGAATTAAGACATTAGAATGCTATGCGGGTACAAATATGGAGATCTTAACAAGCACTGCAGAATTCAGAAAAGCTGTGCGATTCCAAAACGAATCTCAAAACAAAGGAAGGTTGCGCATAAGAAAATTAATGAATTCTTATCGCCACCATTGAGCTGCTTAAGGTCCTGTAAAATTGTCAAGGCATTTGTAAGCACTTTTTCTTCACTAAAGAAACTGCCCCGATCTTATGTAAACTATCCCCTATTCCAAACGGATAGAAGAGTTGAAATTGTTGTAATTCGCGCAATATCTGTTGAAGTGAGGTACAGTAGCCATACTGTTTCTTCAATAAAAAAAATGACAAAATCATTCATAATGTAGCTGTTAGACTTCATCTTTGACCCTGCTGAGAGACACATCGGGAGTTTTTCCTCGATTTCTTGTTATAGTTCGCCCTTCTAGTTCATTGTTAACCTTAAAGGTGTGCTATACTTTATGTTAAGAGGATGAACGCACTTTTATATGCTTATCTTCCAGTCGTAAGGCGCAAACCTTTACATAACATTAGACACTTGCCGTGTTGAACAAGCCAGAAAAATGGCTCCAGATCTATTTTAGCAAGAACATTATTGGTGAAGTTAAGTCCTAAAGCTGTATGAACTTGCCTTATTGAGTTTTCAATGATTTATCTTATTGCGAGGCTAAAACGGTCATTACAAGCAGATCCCGATACCTTAAGAGACCTGTTGGTGCGCTCTATTGCGAAATATTGCTCTATGGAGACATTCAAATTTGATTGGAATCGGTCAGAATTCACTGATTCTTTCGAAATTTGAAGCAGTTTTCAGTACAGTTTTTTCTTCGAGCTGCTCTTTTATGACTCTAGCAGTTAACCCTCAGGTGTAATCCCTTAAACGATTTCAACTGAATGGCTTGGAGCTGAGATGCCGAGGACGAGATCGCATCGTGCAGAATCAGCAGCACTTCAAATCAGTGGACTTCTTTTGGATATATTCAGGTGATTTATATGGAGAGAAGGTTCCACAAAGCTTTCGTTTTGGCTATTCTGTTAGACGAAGTTTCCGTCGACACCAGGAACTCCACAAAGAAGAGAGTGTCTAGATTAATTTGGACCTTTCTCCCTACTATCCATGTCGTCTGAGCACTTACCAGAAGGATAGTTCCTCTCAGTTATCTATGATGAACACAAGTATACCTTCAGAAGCAATTTCATGACACTTTCATTGCAGGGGAAGAAGGCGGGGAAGGTCTTCATCGTCTTCTGACCCGGAAGACCTCGCAGGTATTTCAAGTGAGGAGTCTTCAACGTCATCTTCAGAAAGTTCGACATCTGATACGGAAACAGACGAAAGTAGGACGAACTTTTCAACTTCAATGATAGTGTTATTATCAAATTCCAGGTTCAATACCATATCGCAGAGGTCCGTATCATACTCGTGCTCGAGATCGACGGAACAGAAATCGGTTTGTTTTATAACTTCAACGCTTTTATTCACATCATAATTGATTCAAGAAATTCACAAGCAAGCAACAACTCTTCTAATAGCGAACATACAGAAGAGGTACTTTTGAATTTCCAAACACTTTATCTATGTCTACTTCATTAAATTGTTTATAGCTTGAACTCGAAGACGAGTCCGAAGGTGAAGAAGTTCGTGCGGAGTCTGAATCCGTCACTATGAACAATGACGATCTAAATGTTGGTTACTCTTTTTTTTCTGAAGCGTTTATGGTAAAAATTACTATCTTATTGCAGAACAGCATTCAAGTGATCGAAGATAATCATCAAAACTTGGTAAGTTGTCTTTCTGTTGTTTCAAAACGCTAGTATGTGTGACCGGTCAAGCATCGCTCAAAAGCCCCCAAAGGCGCTTCAATTTCTCTAAGCTCTCTTGTGATATTTTTCGTCCCATACTTTTCGTGCTAGCATAACCAGCAGGCTTAACACGCATAAGGAGGGATGAGAAATGTGAAGAGAAACTAAAGAAATTTGGGCGGTTTTGGGAGCTGAGCGAAGTCTGGCCTGTGCCTGAGACTTTGAATTTATTTGGTGAAGTTTCTTCAAGATTTTTTACTTTTTCTTAGCTCGATGTATGCTCGAGTTGAGTAGAATATCACATTATCCAGCGGTATTTTGTTATTCTGAGGACGATTCTTAATTTAATATTTCAGCCTTCCGAGCCTAATCACAGACGTTCATCTTCCGACTCGGATAGTGAGGTATAACAACGAGTTTCTTTGCACCTATAGACCAAAAAGTAGTATCTTTTGCCGTTTCTTTTCACTTTTCAACTTTTTGTAGAATTGCCAGTGAACGATATAAAGGTACTACACATTCTATTTATGCAGCTTAACACTATCAATCGTCCAAAACGTAGGAGAACAGATAATTTCGCCACCGATGATGAAGAGGCTAAACCTGGGTATGGACTGATTATCTTTCACCTACTCAGAATACCTACAAGGACGATTTCTGTGTTTACAGGGTCTCCGAAACTGCTGCCGCCGCTCAAGCCACTCTCGAAGACGATAGCGGCGATGACGGTTGCACTATCTGCTATGAGGTACGTTTCTTTTTCCTGCTTATTGGGATATTTTAAAAAGATCGTTTGTAGGAATATACCAGTGCTGGAGAGCATCGTTTGGCTTCTGTCAAATGTGGACACTTCTTTGGCTATTCTTGTATTGCTCGGTGGATTCGTAGTGAAGGTTGGTTTATGTTTCATTTTTTGTCCTCCTCGATCATGCTTTATCATTCGCCCCATGTTTATCACAATGTTTTTGTATGTAGATTACGATGAGTCAGCTTGAAACTGTAATCTCGAATTAAGGCAAATCGATTGCTTAGGCACGCGCCATACTTGAACCACTTAATTCACTCAATTTACTTCGCTATTGGTCAAATTAGCGAACTGACCAATATCGAAGTGGCTGTCCCCTTAATCCATTTCATTCATTTCGCTACTGGTCAGCCGATTTGACCAATAGCGAAGTCAAGTGGATCAAGTTTGGCGTGTGTCTCAGTCAACTGATCGAGGGATATCGCGCAGGTGGTATTTTTATCCGTGCTCCGGAACATTTAACAAAGATGTCGGAAATCGTGATATAAAGCATTTAAACGCATATAGGTCGAAATGCCGTTTGTCCTACCTGCAAGACTAAAACCACTATCAAAGATGTCAGAAAACACTATACTAATGCGGTGAAGGTGAGCATCTGCCACTGAAAGCCTTTCTCTTCTCGCTCTTTGTCTTTCTTTACACTTTTTGAGACATCATTTCCTCTCTAGGTCACTGATACTACTGAAGTGGAGATGTTGAAAAACTCAAATGCTGCTTTACACATCAAAATCTCTGGTCTAGAAGTCGAATTAGCACGGAAAGATAGAGAAATCACTGAACTACGAAAGAAACTGCAAGAGGGAACATCACAGTAAGTTCTTGGTTACACTTCGCATCTCCTTTCCATGGTTTCATATTCAGTGATATCATAAGCGCTACGCCTCAGCTGATAGTGCAGCCAAGAGGAGGGAGAATGTTCATGAATCCAGAGCGGAAAGAATCTTTAGTCAATGGCTCATCAAATGCAGGTGAGCCACATTTGTAAATACCTATCTGCATTATGCCGTACTGTTCCTTCCATATGTCTTTTCAGATGCTCGCGCTATGGACTTTAATGGAGAAGTCTGGGCTGTAGGAGTAGCATGCTCACAAGTTCGTAACATTTTTAGTCCTTATGGTATTAGGATGCTTACCATAGTGAGTCGAAATTTTCTTGAATATATTTTTTGCATCTATCTTGTAGTCACCTTATTTATCATATCTTTCTAGAGTCGACAGGAGTTCAAACTTCGTGAATGCTATCCTCTACACAGTGGGAGGTCAAGAGTCGTAGTGTTTTCGCCTTTCGAGTCAAGTCTTCTTCTGTCAGGTTGGTTCTACTATATTATATTTTCATAAATTGATGAATCAACCAAGTCTTGTTGCCAGGCGGTGAAGATAAACGCGCTTTGGTTTCTATGAATGGCGCCGTGCGCAGACAGTGGAAGATGCCACATGAAAAGCCAGTGTGGACTGGCTGTTGGACGTCAGCTAACAAGGTTAGATAAATTTTCTTCGGCTAATACTTCCTACAAACTTTATCATCTCCTAATCAGGTAGCTTTGGGACTTGGCGATGGACGAGTTTATGAGTACGCGGTCGACTCGGACTCTACTGAGCCGATACGTGACTATACGCAAGGTGTCGGCCATTTGCCTATAATATTCACAGGGTTCGTTTGGCTCTGTGATTTTCCAATTGCTTATCAGGCAGGTTTTATAGCTTTGATCCATCTTCTTCCACATTGCTGGTTGCTTCGTTCAAGAAGTTGATAGCGTTCAGAAATGAAAGGGTATTCCCACTACTGAACAATGCTGATGGTTAGTAACCTTTGTTTCTAGAAAAAAGTTCTTTGAAAAGATGCTTCGTTAAGATCAATTTGACAAAATGAGGTCGGTTAGCTTTGACGAATCGTCTCTTCATTTTGCTGTCACATTCTCGCCTGGCGGACGTCATCCAGCCATATCGCATCGACTGTATCGCCTTGAAGTGGATGACGATAATGACGAGGTCAGAATTTAGTCATATCCATGATTTGTAAAATTCAAATGAATATTCACATCTTGAAATATTTCATGTTTCTGAAGTTCTTTTGTCTATAAGTACTTAAACTTGTAATCAAGGTACGTTGCGTAGAAATGGCTCAGTGGCTAACTGAATGCCAAATGTCGTCAACAATGTGGAGTAATTGCCTGTTCTCCCTGAAGAACTCGTTGTTCTCGGTTGTCTTCAATGAAGATCAGAGACGTTTCGATGCTCACGATTGGTCAGGTAGAAGGACGGATGTGAGCTCCCTTTGTTTGTAGAGTGTATCCGAGAGGTAGGATTTTGTTTTGTTTTTTAGGCCATGATACGTTTTCCATCAAGTGCGACAGTGGCCACGATCCGCGCAGTTCCTACTGTCAGCGACTCGCGGAAGACTATCGTTGTACTGGCTGATAAGGCACTTTTCTCCATTGCTTTTGGTCTCTCAGATGCAGTTTCTTAATTGCTAGTTTTGCAGTATAGCAATGCTAGGGACTTGCTTATGAGTTTTAATCGTTCTTTGTTGCATGCATCCACATGATCACCACTGTGTTATTCGGGTACCAGTTCTTTTGTCCTTAAGTCTTCCTCCGCATGTAATATAGAGGTTGCCGAAGCGGGCTTTAATAGAAAGGTCAATGTGTATTAGCTTGGTAATCAGCCTTGTCTAGATCTCTGATCTGCAGTTTTATTACTCCATGGTTTTTTTTCAGGTTGCAGCCATATTTATGTGACTGCGCATTGTATGCAGCATTACGCTACTGTGAATCTATACGCACTGTATGAAAGTTAACTCTGGTCATTGTGATGTACTTTCATATTAGAGCTACCCAAAAGACGTGGGCCTTATCATCATGATAGATTCCCGAGGATGAATAATGTCGTCAAGACCATTCACGATCCAGAACATACCTAAAAATTGGTCGGTAATAAATACATGGAAATCAGCTTAATACAGCTTTTGCTAGTAAGCATCGTATAAAAGCATGCAGATTGCTTTATCATTGAGTAGCAAAACTTACCATATCCATCATTTGATTTGTCAATGGCATAGTCTCCATTCAGTGATGATAAAGCACAATTTCGTAACCACCATCCTCTGAAAGCAAAGGTGTAGAATCAGGGCTCAGCACGAGGTGGCATGTGAGGGATTCAAGAACGAAGTCTTCCTTGACATTGCAGGAAACTACGAGATTTCTTTCGTAAATTTTGTAGAAACTCTCCTTATAGTAGCAAAAAAGTGGACTGAATTGAAAAATAGACAAGAATTAATCAAAGATTAAAAAGAGAAATGCAAAAAGGGCTGCTTTTATATCGAGAGCCGTAAAAAAGCATAGAGGACGCAATTCATTGAGGTAGATACTACTAGATAGATCTTGATCCAAAGAATAGAATCATAAAATGGAATTTTATGAGAAAAGGGAAGATTTCTCATGACTTTGTCTGCTCCCGCGCAACCTTAGGGTGCTCCTAGGTTGCGCGGGAGCAACCTAAAATCGAGGAACACAACTCCTCTCGTTCACATAATTGTTTTCACAAATTTTCATAGTTTTCCTTTGGTCATCGCGGTGTATACACACCAAATTTGGCGTCTCAGTATTATTTACTCGTAAACAAACCGATTGTCTATATTTTTGTCGTAAATATTGTATTTTGACATGTGGAAATTGTATGCACACAAGTTTATGCACCATTCGTGTTTGTAACGTGTCAATTCACCTGTAACTGGTAAAATTACGTTAGACCTTCAAATTCAGGCTTCCTGAGAATTAGAATTGTGCTTTCTTTGTTCCCCTCTGCTTTCCCTTTGAAAAACGACATCCAGCGTGTGAAAGCGCCACCTTTGCTGAGCCCTGTGTAGAATGTGTTGAATACTGTGGCGTAATCTCCAAGCTTGGTTATTTGTCCCAGTTTTGAGTCGACTTTTGCTACTTGAAAGCATAAAACTACATCTGCATACGCAGATGGGCTCTATCATGTAATTTTTAGGTGCGAATCACATTTGATGTGCGTTTTTCAGAGCAGCGAATGCCTTAAGCGCTTGAATAATTGTGCATGGCCGGACTTATTATCTGAAAACTGATCGCAAGAATATAACTGAGCTATTGCCCAAGCCACAGCTCATATGATTCATTTGTGTTCGTGGATTAACTGCGAATCTCGCTTAATACCGTATCCAAGGGCCTTGATAGGTCCACTGGAAAACAGTACGGTACCGGCGAGAACTCGTGGATTTTTGGGCATGATCAAACCATATGAGCTCCTATTCCGACAACGGCTTAGCCTAGGCCTCACATTTTCCACAATAGACACTCAGATTAACTTTTTCGCTTAGACAACCCTTTGAGTCTTTCAGTGGCTGGATCTCAAGATACGAAATTACTAACACTGCCATTTTTTTAGTGCCATCTAAAGTCGCCACTTACCCCATTTTGTATTTCGTCACACAGTCTGTTTGCGGATCGTTGATTTTATCCACTGTCGAAAAACTTGCTCCAATTGAGTATGTCATATCGTACCTGAGTTAGTGAAACTTTGAATTTTGAACATTCATGCAAGATAGTCAAAAATATCGTGTTCACCATCCAGTAGAGGCGTTTCCTTTGTTGTTTTGCCAATCTACGTACATGTTGATTAGCTGGTAGTTGGTAGATTCGTCTCCTATCTGAAGCATAAGATAGAGAGCAGGGTAAATGATAAAATTAACTCCTAATCAAGATAAGAACGGGTCATCGGTCTAGCAGGCTTGCATTTAAGAAAAAAAAAACGCTACTTTGGTGCAAATTACTGTCTGGCTACATGAAACATGGTATCTGGATTCCGCTCATTATTTGTTTCGACATTATACTTTCTCACTGTTGAGTAGGGGATCATGCGACAGAAAGGCGAAACCTATATCGGCAGCATATGTTTCCGATTTTCTACGACTCAAAGGCGTTGAAGCCGCGCTGCTTTTGTGGACACATTTTTTTTGTCTATTTTCTTTTCACTTTATGAGTTACCTCCAGTGCGCTGAATAAAAAAGAAAATTGGCCTGCTTACGACAATGATTGTAATATTTTGAGTTTTTCATGTTTATTATATTGATTGCAAGGTGATATCTACAGTATATTTTTTGGTGTACACGAGAAAAGAAAGTGCAATATGTGAAGCTCTCAAACACACCTGTGAATGGTCATCGCATCAAAAAATTATGCGAATCTGGGAAATGTTGAAAGTTCTATTTTCATCGACTAACTCTTCCTTATCTATGACGAATGCCGTATTTTAGTACGCATATTGAAATTTTTATTGTAATGAAAATCGAAAAGTTGGATCAAAATCTTGAAAACCATAGCTCATCATAGAAGGTCCTCGTAAGAATTTCTCGGAATAATAGGTTATAACTCCAAAAACAAAGGTGAAACCAAGCTTTTTTTGGCCTTTCGGTGTCTTTAGCCAGAAATGGAAAAAATACGATTGTCCTGTTTTTCTTCAAATTTTTTACTCAACTGCTTATATCACTGAGATTTGTTAACATTAGCTTTTGCACTGGCCATCGCTAGAGAGCTGATGGCATACTCTTTCCACAAAATTTTGAACTGAAGTCATTCAAAATGCAAGTTTTGAAAATATAAAACAAAATTTATGGGACAATTATGGGAGAATTTTAATGTGACATTCAAAACGCAGGATCTTTGAAAATGTAAAGCAAAATTTATGAGACAATCAAATACTTACCTGAAATTTAGTGTACTCATTGAACCAGTATGCATTCGCTTTTGTAGATCCTGGTGTTCGATCACCTCTCATCTCGATTCTCAACGTTACATCATTGTTTTTTGTTGTAAGCTGATGCAGTAGGTTGAGTCCTAGCCAGAAGTTTGAATTCTATGATAATTATTGGTTGTTACACTATGTGAACCATATATTTTACCGTGTTCATTTGTTCCGTATTGAAACCATTTTTGTACTCGCTCCACGTTCTGTTCCAGTATAGTTCATTTCCATTGATTCTACTGCAAAGTCGCATCGTTAGTTTTTTGAAAGAATTTTGATATTTTACAATTTTTTAAAAATTTTACAAAGCAAAATCACAATTCACCTCTGAAAAACTATCCAACCACCTCCATTGTCCATATTGCAATAGACATTGTACGATTGTCCATTTAGCAATATTCTGTACATCCCATTGCTGAATCAATAATTTCTCGAGAGTAGCTCAGTTGAGAAAAAAAGGTGGTCCCTTACTCTTTGTAACCCGCTTTGTACCAATCTGCACAATCGCTCATTGCTTGAGGAGTCTCGCATACGAAGCATTCGGTCAGGCCACAGGCAACAGTATTCCACTCTCCTAATTATTTTCCATGAAAAAAATTGATGTAAGAAGGAGATTTATATACCTGTCTGTGCGTTCACAGAAATGCACAAATTTGAATCAGGTTGACCTGTAAGAAAGGGTGTCATTGGAAGAGTTGAAATGGGCGTGACACTTGGTACCAAAGCATAATTGCCATTGTATCAGATGAATAATGAATATGGCTGATGAATAATTTTCTTCGGTGGTCGTATAAATGTTGCAGAGAAATTTTTGCCTATAGTTGGCATTTTTGAATATTTTCATGAAAAAAGGTATCTCTTCTCCAATATAAGGCGCAGAAAAGTAAAATCCGATTTTTCGTGGACGCGCAATTGTGAGAAAAGTTCGTATTTTCATTTTCAGAAATTTAAACATTGAATTACAATTTTTATCATGTTTTGCTGGGTAAAAAAATTTCGAACATACCAATTACTGTTCTCTTTGTTTCCACCACAGCATGAAAACTAGATCTAGAAAGTAAAAGTTGAATTTAGGAAATTTGGCTTTCTTGAGACGTAATTATCCTTTACTGTTTATGTAAATTTTGCTTAGTTGATGGAAGCTTAAAACTGCTTCCCGCAAGAATTTGTAGCTAAATCAATAAGTGAAATTTTTAGAGATTGAGTGCCAAAATAAATTTATTTTTTAGCCAAGCTGATAGCTTTTGTAGCGTAGAAGGTTTGAACCTATTGCTGATTATAATTGAAAGTTGGTCAAGAAGTTAAAATCGAGTAGTGTTGAAAAACACTTGCAGTTTGACCATACATATGAATTCACGTACATAATTGTTTTTTTTCTCAAAATCGTACCTTTGTACCAGTTGGAGTAATCGAAAACTGTTCCGTCAGTCCAGGTACATTTACCGGCTTGACATTTACCACCAGTCCAATAGTAATTGCAATTGTTGGACAATCCAAATGCTGAAATCTATTATTTCGTGAGACATATTGGTTTAGTTTGTGTTTAGGTGGGTAAATTTTGAGAACAACCAGGGATAGTTTCTTTTTTTTATCCTCGCATGTGTCCCGCTTAAGCAGGGTCTGCTTTCCTTGTTAGATGTCTCCATGTCATCCTATCTGAGGCAAGGTCTTCGTCTACACTAAGTTCTCGCAGGTCGGCCTTAATTCTGTCCATCCACCTCATCTTGGGTCTACCTCTGGGCCTTTTGCCTGTTGCCTCCACAGCCAGGGCCAACTTGGTGATGTGGCTTTCATCAATTCTGCGCACATGCCCATACCATCGTAGCCTCTTTTCCTGCATTTTCTGGGCAATTGGAGCTACTTTCATTCGCGCTCGTATAGTGTCGTTGCAGATGTGATCCTTCAGTGTGACTCCTAGGGACCATCGTAGCATCCTTGTTTCCATGACACTGAGCTTGCGCTCCTCGTTCCGCGTACACGGCCAGCACTCACTGCCATACAGTGCTGCTGGCCGGATAACGGTCCGGTACGATTGGGACTTGAGTTGCACTGGCATTCGTCTGTGGCACACAACCCCTGTTGAGGCTCTCCATTTCATCCACGCTGTGTTATCCTGCCTGCGACCTCCTCTTGTGAGCCTCCCTCCGCTGAGATGTGACTGCCTAAGTATCTGTATGACGTTGTCTTCTTTAGCTCTTCACCATCGATGCTTATGGTACCTGGAGTTTGTTTCCCCACTTCCATATATTCCTGGTGTTGAGCTTCAGGCCATACAACTCTGGCCTGTTTTTCCATTTTGCACCTCGTCTTGTAGCTCCTTTCTGGTACTTGCTATCAAGACCACATCGTCTGCGTAGAGAAGTGTCCAAGGGGGTTCACTTCTGAGCGGTTCCATCTCGGCGTTCATCACCGTGATGAAGAGCAAGGGAGAGAGAACTGAAGAACTGAGCCTTGGTGTACTCCAACCTTGGTTTCGAATTTTTTCGATTGCCCTGCAGCTGTTTGCACGTGGCTTGAAGTGTTGTGGCAGATTAACTGTGTTCACTGAACGTACTCCTCTGGCACCCTGTGTTTCCGTAAGGCCCACCATATGACTTCGTGTGGCACCTTATCGAAGGCTTTCTCTCGGTCCAGGAAAGCTGCATGCAATTCCTTCTGCTTCTCTCTGTATTTCTCCATCACTCTCCGAGCGGAATGGATTGCGTCAGTTGTACCTATTTCACGAATCCGCACTGATTCGGTAACAACTCTATGATATCTCGTAGGCGTGTTTCAATTACTCTTTTGAAGATTTTTAGAGTATGGCTCATCAGTCGGATTGGTCGGTAGGATGCGCAGTCTGCTATGTCTCCTTTGTTCTTCCATATCGGGATGGTCGTGCTGATGTACGAGTTGCAAGGCATACTCTTGCTCCTTATGATTTGATTGAGGAAACTCGTTAGCCATGTGGCTCCGGATTGTCCACATATTTTCCAGAACTCGCTTGGTATGTCGTCTGGACCAGTCGCTTTGCCATTCTTTGTTCTTCTTATGGCCAGCCATACTTCCTCTTCCGTGACTGCTGGTATTGCTCCCTCTATGGGGTTGGCTTCTGGGATGGAGTTGATGGTGCGGCCTGTGGTGGCCATTTCCTCGAAGTAGGTTCTCCAGCATTCGGTAATGTCCTCTGGTTTTCTTAGCGTCCTACCAAGTTTGTCTTTGATATGGAGGAAGTGTTCCATATCTTTCGTGGAGTCCGCTCTTCTTCTCGCTATCCGGTATATCTCGCGTTCTCCCTCGCGAGACTCTAGTTGATGTAGAGCTCTTTCAAGTACCCCTGTTTTGCCTTCTTTACGGAAGCCTTCGCAGCGCGTTTGGCTTGTTGGTACGTCTGGCGATCGTCCTCCAATTTCGTCTTATGCCATTGCTTGTAAGCATCCCTCTTCTCTTTTATAGCTTTTTGTCCTTCGTCATTCTACCACCACGTTTCGCGATTGATCCTTCTTTTTCCTGGCTTTGTACTGCCCAGGATCAGGGTGCCACTTGGTGGACTCGATCTTTCAAGCTTGCCCAAGATTGCTCTGGGTTCTCTTGCAGGCTTGGTAGAGTCGTTAGCAGTGCTTGTTTCGCTGCGTTGTTGGTCTTCAATCTCCACCATTTGATGCGTGCCCTGGTCTCTGTGGCTGTCCTGGTGTGCCCATCCATTGGAATTTTGACGAGAAGCAGTGGTCTGTGTTGAGGTATGCAGTTCTCACCGGGAATGACTTTGCAGTCCTTTACATTTTCAAGGTCACACTGTGGTATAGCTCAGAAGTCTATCTGCGTTCGTCAGTCGCCACTCGCATATGTAATGAGGTGATCATTCTTCTTGATGTAGTATGTGTTCGCCAAGACCAGATCATGGGCTGAGGCGAATTCTAGAATACGCTCACCTTCGTCATTGCATGTTCCGTACCGTGGCCTCCGTGACATTTTCCGGCTTCTCCTCGCCTTTCTCCCATATGTCCGTTGAGGTCCGCTCCTAGCAGGAGTGTCTCTTCCAGCGGAATTGAACTGATGTGGCCCGCGTCCTTTTCATCATCCTTACATCCGACTTGTGGCGCATAGGCAGTGATTAGTCGTAGGACATGTTTCCCGGTGTCTACCTTTATGCTCATCAGACGATCGCTTATGCGCTCAGCGTCAACTATATTGTTCTTTAGAGTCTCCGAGACAGCTATCCCAACCCCGTTTCTGGTGCAGGTAGTACCGTTGTAGAGGAGCTTATATCCATCTCCGATGTCGCGTGACTTTGCCCCGCTCCACTTCGTTTCCTGTATGCAGGCTACATCGACTCGTCGTCTCTTTAGAAGATCTGCTAATTCTCGCGAACGAGAGGTGAGTGTACCATATTGATGGTAGCTAGACGGAGAGTCTGCGATACCTTGGATCGTTGCCTCTGGTGAACTAGCCGCTTTAGCCGTCCCCGTTCACCTTGCTGGGACGGTAACTCTCACCCACTATTCGCATTCGTCGGGCTCGAATGCGCGTCGCCTCCGTGGGACGCCCTAGCCTTTACTCGAAATACTTTATGAGACACTAGCTGGCTTACCCGGCTCCGCCGTATCCGGACCAAACTTGGCACACATACACTTCGGGCCCCGGCGGGTGTCACAGTCCACTTTTCGTTATCGATCGATGTCGATTTTACCGATTTTTATCGATTTTTTTGCAGAGTTCACCTACAGGGCTAGGAGTTGGCACAGGGGGGGGGGAAGTGAGCATGGGGATTCCGAATACAATATTAGTTTTCAGAATTATCGATTACTTTTATTGATTTTATCGATTTTTTGTAAATTTTGACATGCGAGGCTGGGATTTTGCACAGGGGGGTAATCGAGCATGCTGATTACGAACACAATATTAGTTTTCAGGATCGTCCATTACTTTTATCGATTTTATCGATTTTTTGAAAATTTGAGCTAGGGGGCTGGAATTTGGCACAGGGGTGTAATCGAGCATGCTGATCACCCCCCTTGGGGATGATCAGCATGCTCGATTACCCCCCTGTGCCAACTCCCAGCCCCCTAGCTCAAACTTTGCAAAAAAATCGATAAAATCGATAAAAGTAATCGATAATCCTGAAAACCAATATTGTATTCGGAATCCCCATGCTCGATTACCCCCCTGTGCCAACTCCCAGCCCCGTAGCTCAAACTTTGCAAAAAAATCGATAAAATCGATAAAAGTAATCGATAATCCTGAAAACCAATATTGTATTCGGAATCCCCATGCTCGATTACCCCCCTGTGCCAACTCCCAGCCCCGTAGGTGAACTCAGCAAAAAAAATCGATAAAAATCGATAAAATCGATATCGATCGATGACGAAAAGTAGCCTATGACACCCGCCGAGGCCCGAAGTGTATGTGTGCCAAGTTTGGTCCGGATCGGTTCAGAAATGGAATTTTCTATTCGGAACATACGTACACACAGACATACATACATACAGACATACCGTCTGCGCCCCTGAGAGGTTCCCATGTGAACCAGCGTGCGTACGTGGTGCGACGCTGCCTTTCGCTCTTTTTGACACGTTTCTCCTGAGATTTTAACGGAAGTGCCCGAGGTTAACACGTTCAGAAGTGCGAAAGGCAGCGAGATGACGTGGTACCTGTGGGAACCTCTCTGGGACGCAGACGATACATACTAACAGACATTCAGCTTTATA